CCTTTCATTCAGGGAAGCAAGATTCTACATGGTATATAGGACACATCCCACACTTTCAGCCACTGCTTAGCAAAGCATGCCTTCAAATGCAGTAACATTTTCTCAGTGATTTAGGCTATAAATAGCACCAGAAGTAAACACTAAACATGAACTATTAAGCATAAATTAACTCTAATGTGTTTTGCCTATATATTTAATGTATATTTAATATAATAATTATCTCAATTTCTTGAAAACTTTGCTCTTGGGGGATCCAACCTCAGAGAAACTTATTTTCATTGCTGGAAATGCAAAGAAAATGTGCTGCAGAAACAGTGTATACACACTTGCTGGCACTGAATTGCAGCTCCACTGGCTGTGCATGATATGGCTGCTGTCAATGAAGGCAGTTGTATGCAGAGCACTACTGGGCTGTCGGCTGCAGCTACCAAAGGACACATTGCAGGATTTCGGTGATATCTGAAGATGCAGACAGATGTTGGGAAGACAAAGTGACTACATTGAGGAAAACACAAGAACGAAGGCAAAGGTAAATATAATTTAAATAACGGTAAAATAAAGAGATTCTAAAAACAGTAAAGCAATTATTGGTGGGAAGAATTGGGGTTTCTGAAAATTGTTAATGTCTTCTTAATTCTTCCCTTCATCTACTTAGTAGCTCCAAATTCTCTTCTCTCCTTCCTCCGTCTCTTCATCTCTCTCTCTCAGACACATACATAAACATATACTCTGAAGAATATCTAGAAAAATAGTCGCTGCTATTTCACGACTCTGTAGAGGGCAGTTTTCTGCTTGCAATTTCCATCTCGTTTTCTCGTAACATAGCCTAGAATGTTTACATGCAAGAATCTCTCAGAATATTTGCTCTTCTTTCTAGACTCTTTAGAGGAAAGTACCATTATGAACTATTAAAAGTTCATATTGTAGGTAACAAATCATGCAAATGCCGGAAGAAAAAGGCACTAGTCTTGCTCCAAGAAAATATATAAGGTTGAACATTTAAAAAAGACTTCTATAGACGAAACTTTTGCTTCTGCCTTGGACTTTATAATCTACTGATAATGAAATATCATTTGTCCCATGTTGTGTCTGTGCACAGGACTCCAAATTAGAAGTTTTTTCCATGTCACCTTGGTACATGGAGACCTAGATATATCTGCTCCAGAATTATCTTTTTCTTAGTTTCAGACAGATTCTACCATGTACCCATGATTCTTTTTCTTTTATTCTAAAGAATGGATATTGAGTCAATATAATTTTAGGTAGGCAGAAAAAGAGAGAATTAAAAAATTATCTCTTATCAGAAGCTAAGAAGGGTGATACAGTTTATTATCCTCATTATGTAAGAAAGAATATCTTAATAGTTATCACTTTCCTGTTTTAAAGTAACAGATTAAGGAAAAATCTGACACATATGTATGAAACAATGAATTTCTCATTTGAATGATACATTACTCATTCTAATTTCATTTGCTTTTTAGGGAGGATGAGTTATATCATTTCATTTTCTGTAGGTAGTAACTAACTTACAATTTAAAAAAATAAAAAATATTGCAATATTGCATCCTTGTATTATAATACTTCATTAGAGTACATATTCCCCAGAGTGGAGTTCACATCATTAAACATCCGTATGCTCCCCAATATCATGTACGTGGTAAAAAGTTAGTAAATGTTTGCTGAATGAATAAATGAATAAGGCACTGAATGAAAAGGGCAGGTTTAAATCAGATACTAAAAAATGCACATTGATAGGAGGTTTACAAAGGGTGAATAACTGGCTAATAGAAAAGCACATTCCCAGAACAGAAATATCCAATTTACATTAAGAAACTGGTGTTTCGTATTTAATATTGGTAGTTATAAATCACATGACTGTGGAAAAACTATTTATAATATTTACTACCATATTTGTTTTATTTCTATTATTTTTTATTTACACATACTCTGTCTTGCTCCACAAAGAATTTTACTACAGAAAATTATAAATACAGGAATGATAAGACTTAAGCATAGAAATGCATGCCTTAGGTGCTGCCTGGTTGAATTCTTATGTGGATTCATATTTTAGCAGATCATGCCAGTAGCATCACTGAATGAAATGAGCTATTTATCACTGAAGTATAGTTCATTTACACACCTCTACAGTCACTTTTATAACAAATTATTCATAAAATGTGCTATTATTCTTCTATGATGCAGTATAAGAAAAGATGAAAAAAACACAAAGTGTTTATGTTACCCAGATTATAATGTAATCAAGACCTCTGAATGCTGCTTTCTCATAAATGAAAGACCCCTACTTAATCCTCTACTACACTGACCAAACCAGTATTGGAACTGACATGTGACAGTAGGAACTCTTACCCACTAATGTTAGGAATGTAAACTGGCACAAGTACTTTAAGATCAATTCAGTGCTATCTGGTAAAAGTGAAGCTCTTCCTACCCCGTAAACCAGAAATTTTATTTCTGAATATATGCCTTCAACAGACTGCTATAAATGTGCATAAGAATAATTGTTTTACATAATGAAAACAATTTAAATGTCCATTAAAAAGGCAATGGACAAAAATTATGTTCATTATATTTATAAAATGAAATAACATGCAGTGGTTTAAAATAAATGTAATTTTATGTATTAATGTGAATTTTTAAAAAATATAATCTTAAGTGAATAAAATTTGTTTTAGAATTATACCTAAAATAATATTTACATAACTCAAAAAACAAATAATTATCTCTCATTCCATATATTTGCATATATATGTATGTATATGTTTGTAGATGTATGTATGTATATAATTTTTAAGATACATGCATTTTGTAGTAAAGTCAGAGGCATAGTAACCATAAGTCCAGTAAAGTATTTTTAAAGCCAGTTCATCCCTGCCCTTGGTTTTGCCCCAGACCTGTAAGATTATATGTTTCTCCATTTTCCATTCTAGAGAATATTAGTCTTTGTTTTGATTCATAACAGGCAACATTTCTTTTCTGTCACTATATAGATTTAATTGACATTTCTCTCACCTTGTGCTGAGAGAAAGCATTTTGATGCGTCTTTCATACATTAAAATGTAAGTCAAATACTAACCACTAAATAAAGAGTAAAGTTATGAATATCACTGGAATATTGAATGGACAGCTGTTTAGAAACAGCTGTGATATGTCCTGAAAATAGTCTATGGGCAGAAGGTAATTGTGCAAGAATTATGGTGCAGTTTGTTTCCATTTCCTTTTGGCTGGAACCGAAGAGAAGGGGGGATATCAGAGGCTCCTCTTGTTTCAGGAGGGACAGGACCAGAAAGGCAGATCATCCTGAGTAAATGAGCAAGCCCATACAGCAGAGCAGCAGGCCAGTGGTTCAGGAGACAGCGGTGGCCAATAGGGAGCTTCCTGGCGAGAGGCAAAGCCCATTGACCCTATGGTTTCTGATATTCATGTTCAAGTTTCCTGTTTCTTACAGCAATGCCCTCGATGTGATCTCAAACCTTGAGTACTGTCTGTTAGACATGCCACCTTGGGTTGCAATCAAGTGAGGGGGCCAGAAAAACTGCAGGCTGGTGGCAAAGTGAAACTGATGCTTCTTGAAAAGGTCAAGGGCTTCATGGCACAGAGCCAAAAGGATGGTGTGACCATCTTGAGTAAAAAATGGTTGCCCTGGTTCTTCTGGGAAGGCAACAGGTGTTTGGAGAAGAACACTGAGTACTTTATTCCAAAATTTGTGCTGTGTAGAGCAGTCAAAGTTAACTGGTGAATTATGACCACATTTCAAAACATCTTATTTGATAGTGTTAATAACTTAATTTTTTGCATTAACGTTTTTCCAAATGCTCATGACAAACATTTAAAAAAACTTAGGAAACATGCAGTTTAATTTAAAAATACTAATCATATTTACACATCTTTTCTGCCAAACGACAACTTAAATAATGGTAGCTTTTTTCAACTCCAAACACTAAGAGAACAACAACAACAAAACCACTCGTCTTTGTCAAATAAGGAAAATTCAAACTTTTGGCAGTCTGCAAACTGTGAGATTGACTTTATAATTTTTCATCACCAGGTATACCTTCTGAAGTCTCACAACACCCATTTTAAGTCTCTGAAGTCTCTTAACTATTTTTAGAAATAGACACTATTGCTGATAACGCAATATATCCTGCATGTTCAACCTTTGTGAATCATACCATCTAGGGCAATTGACTTGGTGAGCAAAATCTGCATGGTCACCTGGGCAGCTGCATTTAGAAATACGAGCTGTCTAGTCAAGGTTACAGCATTTGTTTTCTTTCCTTAGAATTCAATGCAGTTAAATATCATCTAAATTTTGATTCGCTTTGCAAGGCTATTGAAGGTTTGTATATTCCAATGCCTCTGATTAATCAAATTCAATTAAAAAATGAAAATAAAGAAGTATTTTTATACTTGTAGGGAATATATCCTCTTCTTGTTTGTTTTGAGTTGAAGGGATGGAGATAAAGCCAAAAGAAAAATAACAATAATAATGTTCAAACATTGTCAACATGTAAAGAATTGTATTTAGAACTGTCAAAAATTTACACAATAGGAGGTTTTATCACAGAATCTGGAATGGAGACTTCTAGAAATTAAGAAATACAGGATATTTCTGATATAAGACTGAATGAAAGCATGTATATTCTAAGAAATACAAAAACAACTTGGTAAAAAAAAAAATACACTTAAAATGAGTGTTGTGTGTTTTCCTTTCTGATTTTCATTATTTTTAAATTGTTCCTTCAGCCACCAAAGTTATATGATGGTTTCTGAACAGTGTTTACTTTTGTGACAGTTTCATCTCACTCTGTTGTCCAAACTGATAAAATCCGGAAGTCTAGAAACAGCAAGGGACTCCCTTCCTCTGTTATATGTAAGCTGACAAGAGGTAGACAAACGCCTTCTGAAGTTTTGTGCCTGCTGCGTTTTCTCTCCTTGCTGCAACAAGAAAAGCCTTTGTTTTCCAACCTGGCAGCCTTTGAAGAAGTGACTCAGACATCTTCATGGCCTCTAAAGGTAAGAGTAAATATAACCAACTAATAATTTTTTTCTTCTATTATGACTAAAAATGAACAATTGTGGATGTGTTACAACCAGTTAGACTGGTATCTTAAAAGCTGTCATTTGTCACTTTTGAACATTGTGATTTTAAAATTCTAACTCCCAGGAGCATGTTGAGTTAAATTTAAAAACACTCTATGTGACAGACTGTAAAAGTTCAGATGTAAACGATGCTTTAGTTATCATGAACACAAACATAGTGAATTAATAAGAAAAGCTGCATAGCAAAGTTTAGAATGGGAATCTTTAATGTTAAACACAAGGACAGGGTGGTATTTTGAGTTTAAAAGGATTTGAAGAAAACTTTTCACATATAAGTCAGAAAGTGTTAAAGTGCAATTTAATAATTTTTTAAAAATTACAATTTTAAAAATGTATGTGTGTACATAGTAGGTATATATACCTATGGGATACATGAGATGTTTTGATACAAGCAGGCAATGTGAAATAGGACATAAAGGGGAATGGGATATCCATCCCATAAATCCATCCCATTTATCCTTTGAGTTACAAACAATCCAGTTACACTCTCTAAGTTTTAATTTCCCATTTGTTATTCAAATTAGGTGATATAACCATTTATTATAAAGAATCCGACAGGTGTTATTATTGATTCTCACATTTGATTGGCTAGAAATAAGTATTTCTGAATTATAAAGCAAAAATATCTTGCAATTTCCGTATGGTAAATTAAAGATAGAAAACAAACAGAAAATATCTACTTTAAGCACGCAGATCACTTAGCAGACTTTGGGAGTAGGACTGATGAGTTTTTTCTCAAATTCCTAAAACTGCAAAAATATCATCACTGTTATCTTACTTTAAAGAAATTCTCAAAAGACAAGAGATATAGTTGTTTTTAAAGTAAGCTGCAATCTCACTAAAAACACTTGTGAGACTGTATAAAAAATAAAATTATAATGTGCTCTCCTTTCATTGTCAGAATGAACCATTAAAGCCTAGGCTCTAATTAAAAGTTTTAGCATGAAGAATGATGATTAGTATAATTGGTGAAAACCTTTAAAATTAATTACAAATAGGATAATAGGGCCCATCAATTTGTGGTATCCTCAATTAGTGATCCATTCAAGCAAATGTGTATGCTTACTTTCTTCCTTTATCAAAACATACTTTTGGACACTGTTTAATATGAAACAAATGAGATAATCTTTCCATTTTTATCAATCTTTAATATAGACCAGTCCCTCGGTCCCTCAGAATCACTGGGAAAGCACACACAAATTGTGAAATATAGATGTGAAATAGCAAAATCAAGAATTTGATATATGTGTCATCATTTTTTCTGTCTGAAGACAAACAAAAAACCTTGACAAAATTTCCTTTCATTTAAGACTGACGCTAACATTTAGTCCAAAATACTTTGTCACTTTATAAAATAAGAGTTACAGCAATACTGTAGCCTGCAAGGTAAAGAGTTGCAGAGTGTATAAAATATTTATAAGCTAGTTATACATTTTTAAAAGAGTAGATAGAAATTCAAAGCCAGTAAGAAATTCAAAGGAGTTCCTTCTTCATCTGGTGGTCTGAGTCTTTGAAGAAACTTGTGACTGGAAAGTAATATTATGTCAAAATATGATTAATCTACCAGGAAGCAGTGATGTTCCATAATGATAAAGACCCAAGTCTAAACTTAGAAGCAAAACTTCAGGTGGAAAACTGACCTCCTTCTGCAACCGGCTCAAAATATTTAATACATGGAGTGGATAAAACACCTATCAGAGAATTCATACTACCTAGGAGAATATAAGTGACAATGAAGCTTTCTTGTGAATTAGATACCTTGTTTAAGAGGACAAGTCAAATTATCACCATTATCTAAGTAAAACACTTTTGCGGATAGTTTTCTTCAACTGTATATAAAGACATAATTTATAACATAATGTTTTCTTGCCCAGTAACTATATTGGCAATTCCCATTTTCCCAGGGAACGCAGACTAAGTGTACATTTCATACGTTTCATAGGCAGATCAATCAGCACTACTAAACCAAAAGACAGTCTAAATGCCGGGTGCCATTAGAACTGAAGAGACATTTGTGTGATCTGGAACCCCCTGACTCAGTAGAAATTAACACAATTTAAGAGCAAGTTGCTCTCAAACAGGGTGATCTGAACTGAGCAAGAGCTGTCTCCAAGGTTGCTTCAATGTGAACTAAAATCCCAGAAGAAGCAGCAGGTGAGCGCAGAATACTGATGTCTCTCAACAGTCTCAGGCAGAGACTCACCCATACTCTACTCCTAAATAAAGACTTTGGACATAATATCCTCTGAGCCTCAAGTGCATTAATGCCTCTGGACCTGCTGTGAAGTCTAAGGTCCTCCAGGCCTGGGTGGGAATGTACAGTAACTTGCCAAATTCTCCATAACCTACGGCATTTTGTTACAACAAACATAATTTACAGGATAAAATTGGGGTAATCTGTGAGTCCCTTTAACAATTAAGTTTACAGTGAGAGAGAAAATAATAATCTTATACCAGCTATTGTTAGAAATTGATCCCTACACATGGTTTTTAATTGAGAGATAATATGTGCAGTGAGGGACATAAAGAGCACAAAACCTAGGCTCCATGATTTTTAAAATAAGGACACACTCGTGACCACCACCAAGATCAAGATATAGACATTTCTAGATTCTATTAAGTTCTCTTTCTAGCCAATAGCCATGCATCCTCCCTTTCCCAAGATGGACCACTATTCTGGATTTTATCATTGTGAACTAGTTTTCGCTTGATCATAATTTTGCCTCTATGTTTTTCTGAAAGTGATAATGGTACATTTTGCACTAATGCTAAAGAAAAAATGTTTATTGTTTATTACCTTTTAATATTTTTGAGTCATTATTGCTATATTAATGGCCATTAGCTCTTCTCCCAAATCTGACATAGTGTTACATAGTCTTTCTCTGGGTTTACTTCTTAGGATCCCATTGAGGAGATGTTCTCAAGAGTAAGGGGAGGTCTAAAACCTATATCCTTTGTATCTGCCCCAGATGTATGAGAAGTTAAGCATGAGAGTCCTTGTGGAAACCAAACTGCTATAGTATTATCAGTATTAGGCTGTATTTGAGTGGGGCCATTTGACAAGTTATTCCGTTTGATCCTAACCATAAAGCATGCCTACATTCTACGTATCACACACCAGTACAAACCGAATGGCCCTACACTAATAATAATAAACTCAGTTGATTTTAATAACCTTAAGGTTAAATAAATAAATGAATGAATTTACTTCATGAATAAACAAATGAATGAATGAATGAATGAATGAATATGCTTGAGTTTTCTTAATGATGAGAAATTTACTACCACCAAAGGAAACCCAAATTCATTTTTAGAATTTATTTTTCACAGATTTAAAAGATAAAGATATTTCTTCCCCACCCCACCCCCACACACACATACAAACCTTCATGAATCTGAGAGTCATTGCTGAAGTGCGAACATTGTAATTTGCTGCTAATTATATAGATTCCACTTCAATTTTGGTATGTGAGTAATGAGAATATTTATTCAAATCTTTGTGTAGCTGTTATAAATTTCGTACTTGTTGTCAGTGCAAAAGCAATGTCCTTGCCCTTCTCTTTTATATGTCTTTAGGACAATCTGAGTTGCTTGTCTTCGTAATGGCCCTTCTTATGTTTGAAAATACCTGTCACAAACCTTGCTTCACATCTATACCCAATCTAAAACAGCATAATGTGGATAAACTAACTGAATGCACTTGTGAAAGCTCTAACACTTTATTGATTACTAAACATGAGAAGTAAATATACTGATATTCTTTGAAAAAAATGATATCTAATGAGAGAGATATCCAAATGGTAGTTATGTGAGAAGAAAAAAATCATAGAAAAGCTATCATTTATATTTTTAAACAAAAAGGCCTTTGCATATACCACCTTATTAGGGGTTATCCATAAAATTACACAGAGCAATGCGAAGTAAATAATAAACCCCCAAATTTCTAAGTAAAAGATGATTAAATTGTAACATATTTACCTGGCAATAATTTAGAAAACAGGTATCTTCTCTAAAAATTTTAGTCAAACTTTATATAATTATTTGGTTCTGATATCTTTTATATTTTGTAATATTGGGTGAGCTACAAAAGGATGCATAGCTTCAAACTATTATTGGTTATATATAGACTTATATAAATATAAATATATAAAAATAAGTATATATAGACATATATTACTGCATATATATTGAAGTAACATCAATTTATATGTATATACTTATATATGTTTATATAATATATAATTTATATATGTATAAAGTAACCAATAATTACTCTCCATATTTTGCTTTGTATATTTATATAATATATAATTTACATATGCATATAAATATATATGCAGTAAGTGTATATATATGTGCAAGTAATTATATATACACACACACATATACACATATGCATATTTTTTCTAAAGTCATTTATTTTGGCTAAATTCAACTTTTTCTCACAACTACTACCGGAATTCTTCTGCACTTCTTTTTTTCTAACTTAGGGGACAAGTGGTAATGGCAGTAAGTAGTGAAAATAAGGAAAAGGGCATTAAAATGAGAGGCAGGAGATAAACTATCCTATCAATCAAGAAGTAACAAATATTTTAAGAAGGACTAAATAAAATGGCCTAAATTTAAATATGGATTGGGATTTCCATTCTCTTGCAGATGCCCAGAACCAAAGAAGAGGTCTGCCTAGTTTTCTTCCTGGAGCTCCAGATCCAGACCAAAACCTTCCTGCCTCATCTTCCAAACCAGGGAACCAAGCGTGGCAGCTGAGTCGCCCTTTGCCAAGAAGTTTCCTGCCAACAGTCAGTCTCCCTCCGGGTCTAGAATATTTAAGCCAGGTGTTTTTACCTTTCTATTCCTACAGATATGTTCTACCCTTAAAATTAATACAAACTTTCTTTCTGACTTTTCAATCAAGGTTGAAAGACTTGAACCAATAATTTACTGAAGTGAAAAAAGCATTATAGATCATAAAATTGTAAAATATTAATTTTATTTATTTATACTATTTTTAAAAGTGTGTCGTATTACTACTTTTATCTTCCTTATTTATTTGACAGAATGATGAGGCTAAATATTTTTGATGGAGCTGTTTAGCATGTTTAGCCACTTGTTCATTGATCAAGGTGTCAGCAAATTTTTCCTCAAGAAATTGTCTAATATGCCAGGCATGGTGGTTCATGCCTGTAATCCCAGCATTTTGGGAGCCCAAGGCAGGTGGATAAGCCAGGAGTTCCAGACCAGGCTGGGCAACATGATAAAATCCCATCTCTACAAAAATTAGCAGGGCATGGTGACATTTGCTTGTGGTCCCAGCTACTCAGGATGCTGAGGTGGGAGGATCACCTGAGCCCAGGAAGGTCAAGGCTGCAGTGAACTGTGATCACACCAGGTTGAGTGATAGAGTGAGACTCTGACTTGGAAAAAAAAAAAAAAAGAAAGAAAGAAAAGAAAAGAAATTTTCTAATGTATCTAGTCACCTACAGCTATTTAATTAAAGAATATTTGTCGAGTGCTTGCTATACTCGAGACATATAAAAAGCATGAAACCTAGCCCCTGTCACCCAAAAGTTCTGCAACCTAAATGGCAAGACAAAAAAAAAAGAAAAAAAAGTTAATGCAAAGTGCATGCCTATATACGAATGATTGATAAGCACACTATTGTAATTTGTTCAGGTGTATAGAGGAGAGAGAGGTTCTTAAGGATCAAAGTACTTGAAAGAGACTTCAGCAATGAGCTGAGAGCTCAATGTCTTCAACTGAATCTCAAGAGGAGGACACAAATCCAAGAGAAAGCAGTTATAAAGTGAACATTGTCTGCTGACACCACTGCATCTCCAGGGCAATTTGCTTAAAAGAGCATATTGCTATTGGATATAGTCACTGTTCCAGTCATTGTAGAGTAGGCAGGATTCAAACCTTACAATAAATCAACCAAAATATCACTATCTGAATTTTATGGCATATAAATAGCTATTGCTATTCGTGTATGTATATTATTGTTGCTTTTGTATTTTATCCTAAAAAAAGATTAGAAGTACAATTACACTAATATTGAGATGTCAGCACATCTGCTGCAATTTTCAGCTTGTTTGGCATTCTTTCAAACTATAAAGTCTATCTCCTTTATCAAAATCAAATCTCTGTGTTAATTCCCTTAAGGTACAAGAGATTTCTGTTATGCCTGATAGGGTTTAAGCTGTATGCAGCATATGTTCCTGGTAAAATGTTTATAATTGCAGATGCCTTCTCCAGAAACCCACTGGCAGACAAATGTACTTTAGAGACTGGAGAGCTCAGGGAGATATGTAAAAGAGCTGGAAACATGAACCTACCATCTTCCATCTGCAGAAAGGATCAGCTGTAATAGCTGACTAGAGTTGATTAACTGCTGCAAGCTGTTTGGGAATGTTGTCAGACAAGGTTTTGCCAAGTATAAAAGTGATATACCAGTGCCAGAGGGCTGAGGTTTGATGATCACATATGGTCATCACATATTCTTCTTCCATTCATGAATGATGACACACCCGGAGCCAGATGCTTGACATGAATACATTTTTGTTACGTTCAATAAGTAGAGATATGAACCCATTGGCTTTGGTTCTAAAATAGAGTAAATTTTCCAAAAATATACCTTTGTTAATCGTTGCAAGAAAAAAAAATATGCCCCCAATTGTTGAATATTCTACTTCTAAAGAGAAAGATAATTTCCTCACTTTATACTAAAAGAACATTTATTTTATTTACTTTAAAGCAGTGCACATATAAAACCATGAATGAGCATTTCAAAAGTGTTATGCCATGAGCCTGGAAGAGGCACAATACAAAATGAATTTTTAGATGCTATGTTTTCTCTGAAAGTCACAAAAATCAAATAAAATAATGAACATTTGGAAATAGTACATTAATCAATGAATAAACAGGAAATATACAATAAATATCTTTCTAAATTAAAAAATTTAAATAAAATATTTTAATATTATTCTCTTTTAATCAAGTCCATCCAATTACTATTGAGAATCTTGTTTCCATAAACAATTTGAAAATAAACGTATATGAGTGTTTAGCTATATAATGTATATTAAATCTAAGAATAAAATTGATAGATTCATTACAGATTAGATTTACATTTTCATACAGTCAATAACATTTTATTGTATAGTGTCAAAGTGTCAAAGAATAATTATTATAATTTAGTCACCTGTATGTAAGAGTAATGAGGTAAAGTCTACAAAACATATAAATATCCAATTTATTTTGAAATACATATATCAAATGGAATAATTGATACCTGTCAACGTGATTTTTTAAGAAAATTAATTCTTAAGCCATACATCTAAACTTCTCATTGTATTTTCATTTCTACAGCTTTCATACTTAAGGAGTTAAGTTTTACTTGCCATGACACCTAAATGTATAATTCAATCTGTTTAAAGTTTTCAAAATTCCTAGTCTATCAATCAATAGAAAAAGAATGAAAAATGCCCCTTTGGGCCATGGTTTATAAGTGGCTATGTGCTATTTAAAGAAAACTACAAGAACGACCAAAAACAACTCCCTCAAATCCAGGAGATTTTTTCACAGAGAGAGCAAATCAAATGTTATTACAGAGGGTGGGGAGGGTATAAAAGTAAGAAAATATGAAAGGTATTCAAGTTTCATATTGTCACTTGAGATTTATTTCCCTTAAATTTAGCGTAGTGATGTCAGTAAAGAACCAGAGTAGAATGCATGGCAGAATTGATGGCCATTTACAAGTTCTGTGATCGTGGGCAAATTACTTAATCTCTGTGGGCTTGTTTCCTCACATTTAAAATTAATGATATTTATCTCTCCAAGTTTTTGTGAGGTTTAAATCAGACACTGTCTAAATATCTAGCACAGTGACTACCTTATGGTAGTTATTCAATTTAAAAAGCTGCTGTTGTTGGATATTAGAGAGGTACTACTTCTTTTTCATTGTCAGGTGGATTTCAATTAATAGTTTCTAAATTTCAACACTAAAACTTGATTCACAACATCAGTATTCAGAGTACCTAAACTCCCACTTTATTTTTGACCACACAGATCTCCATTTCTAAGTTACTTGTGCATAGATCAACTGCTAAATAATAATGTACATCCTTGTTGAGGCTTACCACTCCATTTTCCTCAGAAGATAACAGAACTAATGCAGTACATTACTAAAGACTTGGTCAAGTATTTTTTTTCTAATAAAAAGCTTTGTCATTATTGTTAATTTAGGTTTTAGAATATATTCGATCATAAATTATTTTTGGAAAAATATTTTTTGTGAACCTTAAAAAAGTAGCCACACATATTATTTTATCAGTAAGAAGATTTAAATAGAGAAAATGATATTAGTTTTACCTCCACCTTAGGACATACAAGGACAATGAGGGAAATCACGTAGATTCAAATGTTCTGAGATTGTAATGTCCACTCAATACCAAATTTTAGTAATGACTGGTTAGTTTAAAAGTTACTGGTGAGTTTATTAATGCGAAGGGAGAATATGGGAAAGAAAATTTTAAGGTGGAATGAAAAATGAAGCATTAGAAAATACAATGATCAGCAGCATATTCAGTGTTCATGCTTTTGCATTACTGGATCTTCAAGTACTGAATATCAGATTGAAAATAAACACAAATAGGCCAGACACAGTGACTCATACCTGTAATGTCAGCACTTTGAGAGGCTGAGGTGGGTGGATCACTTGAGGTCAGGAGTTTGAGACCAGTCTGGCCAACATGGCGAAACCCTGTGTCTCTACTAAAAGTACGAAAATTACCCAAGCGTGGTGGTGAGCACCTGTAATCCCAGCTGCTCAGGTGGCTGAGGCACGAGAATTGCTTGAACCTAGGAGGTGGAGGTTGCAGTATGCCAAGATCGTGCCACTGCACTCCAGCCTGGGCCACAAAGCTGAACTCTGTTCAAAAAGTAAAAATAAAAATAAAATAAGCACAAATAAATTTCTTTATAAGAACAGAACTTTCATATTTCCTTTAAAATACAATTTGCATTGCAGACTTTTTAATTTAATAGTCATTTCTCAATTATCTGTGGATACTTTACCTCTGTAAATTAACTTTATTTTTAATTACATAAGTCAAATTTTGTAATGTATTTAGTGCCATAACATTTATTTGACTTAGATTGGTATTTTGTTGGCATCCGCAGGAACTCATTTTCATTTTTAGTCCATAGGAAAGTGTAAATGAGAGAAAAATATATACAATAACTTTTCAGGTTTAACAAGTATATTCCATCACTGAAAGAAATGAGTTGTAGTTTGACAGAGTGATAGTAGAGGTAGGCACAGGTTAAGAGGAGAGGTCAGGCATTCAAATCATTATTGTGTTGTTTCCTATATTTAAAAAAAAAAAATTGAATTGTAAAACATCTTAAACATTATAATTCAGAGATTGTTTAAAAATCTTCACAAACTCTTGTTTTCAAGATCAACTCTAATTTTCTCATTATCGCAGAGTTAACATGTAGTTCTGTCTCCGCCTCCTTTTTTTTTTTTTTTTTTTAATTGAGACAGAGTTTCCCTCTGGGGACCAGGCTGGAGTGTACTGGGCTCATGGTTCCCCGCAACCGCAACCGCAACCTCCCAGGATCAAACGATCTTCCCATCTCCGCCTCTCTCCAGTGTAGCTGGGACTAGAGGCCCATACCACCACAGTCAGCTAATTTTTGTATTTTTTGTAAAGACAGGGGTTTGCCATTTTGCGCAGGATGGTCTCGAACTCCTGGGCTCAAGCAATCTGCCTACCTTGACCTCCAGAAGTACTGGATTTACTTCTGGAGTAAATATAGGAACTGCGCCCAGCTCCGTTCCTATTCTTATTATTGCTCAATACTACCTTGGAATTTTCAGGGTTCTTCTAAATTTTTACTTAAATAATAATAATAATAAAAAGTTACATTCTTTTGCATTATAAAATGTGAGATATTTTCAACCATTTTCCTAATAGAAAGCATGAAAATCACCTAATTTTATGCAACGTAGTAAATAGGGTAATAGTAGTATCTCCAAAGGTTTTCGATGTGATGTAATACTTTTTATTTCCTTTATGTCATCCTTTACAGTTAGATCTGATAATTATACACCAGCAGGTGGAGCTGCTTGGAAGTAAGTGCATTATATATATTATGCATTTATTAAAACTATTGAAAATATTTTAGTTTTCACAAGTTTCTCTACATCTAAAGATATTATAAACGAGAAAGTTAAATGTGTAAAACAGAATTAGATCAAAAAGAGTACTAGGTCTCTTTTTAATTAAAAGCTAAAAGTAAAATTATTAGTCTTATTTAGATAAAATAGAAGCATAAAACTCTGAATCTTTGGTGATATTGCCATTCAAATTCTGACATTACATCTACTTTAAAATAGTAAAATGTATTTGATTATTTCCATGGATGTTAATCATTTAAATTTCTTAATAATTTCAAAAATGGAAACCTCGGTTTTAACTAAATAACAAAAAGTTATCAAAACAAAATGTTACTGTTTTATCATTTTATCAGTGATTTATCAAATAGGAAAATTATTTAAGACTCTACAAATTTACAAGCATGACTAACTGGATTCAAATTACTTGAGTATTTTCTGGTTTTAGTGCTCTATATTATTCCTAAATATATGTGAAAATTGAAATAGCCAGATAGCATACAACTTTAGAGATATTACCAGCAAATATTTTAGACAAAATCACTATTATCACCATATGGTGCCAATAGTTCTATAACAATAATATAATTATTTTTTGAGTTATAAATTACTCTTTAAAGCATTTGTCCTTTAGTGAAAAGGTACACTATATGTTCTCAAGTAGGTCATATATCTGGAATAAATATTAATTAATTATATAGCTTTATTCTCACCATTTACTTTTATTTCCATGGCTAAGTCTTACAGATTTAGAGCACAGAAATAAATTTGTGTGAAGAAGATACCATATACTTAATAAATGATCAGACACTGTATTCTTTTAATGACGTCTCCTCTTTATTTACAGTTATCAATACTAAGGGAAAAAAATGTTTTTATAAAAAATGGTTTATTTTGCTCCATCAGTGATACTTGGTACTGAGACCTCCAACAAATATGAGATTAAAAACAGCTTGGGACAAAGAATTTACTTTGCAGTGGAGGAAAGCATCTGCTTCAATCGTACTTTCTGTTCCACTCTGCGATCTTGCACCCTGAGGATCACAGATAACTCAGGTCGAGAGGTCATTACAGTGAATAGGCCCTTGAGATGTAACAGCTGCTGGTGTCCTTGCTACCTCCAAGAGGTTAGTTACTGGCTATGGTTGCCTTTTTTGATTTTTAAAATTAGCATTTGTTTCTTTAAAAGGAATTCATTTGGAGCAATGAGGCAATTAACCTGTCAGTTGTTTCAATTATTAATAGTATGTTGTTCCTTTAGGATCAGATCAGCTTGAGGATTTGGTGATTCACTAAAATTTTTTTTCCTTTCCAACCAAAAACTATGGTGGCTTTCGTGATGTAAACTGTTGAGGACAGGTCATGCATCATGTAAATGAGATAGACCTCTGGAATCTCTATAGTAGTCATGTAATTGTAATGTCTACAGGTTCCACCATTGGGCATATATGCCCTTTGTCTTCTCCAACTGGAGCAAAGTCCAGAAAGTGCTAAGTGATACTAAACTCCTCTAAGGTGTCCTCTTGGATAGCTATTATTATTTATTATGGAATCTCACAATGCATTTACCCGTTTATGACAAAACCCAAGGTTTAGCAAGACAATGTTATTGTTCTACAGGAAATAATTCAATTATTTTATTTTAATATATAATAGATTTACATTATTATTTAGTAGACCTATAATAATAACTTTCATTGACATACGCAGTTCAATTGACACAGAACTTTACTTACTTTGCTGGCTTTGATACCAGGATATTCTACTCATGAGCAAGAATAGAGTCATGAAATCTCTAGGAGCTAGAAATAATTACTCTCTACATTTTGCAGTCAAGGAAGGAGAGTGGAGGCCGCTAACCTATGACTATACATTCAAGAAATCAGGAAATATCATAGATGGGACTTGATCCAGGTGTCCTAACTTAGGCCCAATCTTCTCTGTTAGAACCTGTGGATAAGTACTGACCTTAGGATGATGGGAAAATATTAATATGAAAGATGATTATTTAGGGAAGTTTCTAATAACATATATCAAAGCTAATTCTCCAACTATCTTTAGGCAAGCATCTGACTAAGTGATAAGATGACTGAAGTGCTCATGCATGGAGCCCAAGAATTTCCATCCGTCTACTGAGGATATTTAATATTAATATGCCCCAAGAGAGTGTCGTCATTATGATCACAGAATTATGCTCATTTAAAAATTTTTGATAATTAATGTTTTCTTTAATGGTAGTCCAGGGTCATAAATTAAACATAATATATATCTTGATACCTATTAGTAACTTTTTAAAGAATTTGGTCAATAGCAAATTAATAACTTTAAAAGTGACCTCAGAACAAATCTATATTAATTCTGAGCCGTCTAGTTGAAATCACTTTTATCTATCCAAGAATGTTACAGACATATGCATAAGACTATGAACTTAATAAGAAAAGTCAAAATGAGATCAGATGATGGAGAGATGGCTTGGTTTAAATGCAAACATTTTAAAAATTTGTACCCACCCCCAATTTATTTTACAAAATATTTGATTTGATTACATAAATATGTAACGGTAATGGAGTCAAATACTAAAGTAATGCCTGATAATGCAAAAATCCAACTACTAGTCTCCAACACTGTGGAAGCCACGAACCAGCAATCAAACTGGTGTTTAATGACTACAACTCTGCAAGAAGCATTTGTTTTCAATTAAATGCAGATAATCTGGGAGTTTATAATCTGACTGAAAAAAGTATGAATACTCAATAATTGATAAAAGAGATGAGTGTTGTGGCTACAATCAGAAGGAGTAGATGTGAGTTACCGCATAGGAACAGCTTCAGTGGTTGAACAACTGTTGTACTTGGGATAAAATGACAAAGAAGCCACTGTCTCAGGGTCAGAAGATAGTCGTTGGGTAGATTCTCTTTAGGGAAATAAGACAAAGACTTTTAGTGCACTGTGCTAAACATATGTTTATACAGTGAATTTCTTTGTTCTCTGTAAAATATTTTATAAAATCTGTATCCTTAAAAGCAGATATTTAGAATGATTTATAGGATATCAAAATAATTTTATAACAGTATATTGTTTACAGGTAAATTGACATTATAGTAAAATTAAAATATGATAACTTAAGAAAATCTTATTTTGTCATTATCTCTTCTTGCAGTTAGAAATCCAAGCCCCTCCTGGTACTATAGTTGGTTACGTTGCACAGAAGTGGGACCCCTTTCTGCCTAAATTCACAATCCAAAATGCAAACAAAGAAGACATTTTGAAAATTGTTGGTCCTTGTGCGACATGTGGCTGTTTTGGCGATGTGAATTTTGAGGTACAATCGACAAAATGAAAGAAGTTTTCATTTAGGTCCTGATTTTTTTTTTTTTTGCAATATAATTCAATTTTTTATATGTTCAAATTAATTTCATCTCAGATAAGTTCAGAAAAATAACATATTTGTTATATAATGTAATCAGCCCATATTGTACATGCTAAGAATAGGAATATGTAAATCCAGAGATATAAAGTCCAAGGATTTTTAAAAAATAATATTACAAAATTTATCACCTTGGCCATCGTATCATATGTCATAGACCAGTGTAAGTATTATTCAAAATAATTTTAATAAATTTAAAATAACAAAAGCATATTTAGCTAAATATAATTCTATGTGTTTTATGAAAAAAACTACTGTATCTCTTTGATTAGAATAGTAAATGTGTTGCTATTTTAATGTGTCCAAGACTTTGAACCTCAAAAATTTTTGGACATATAGCTTTGCTTTTTTAAGATAACCAATACTTTGTGATTTTGAAAATTAGCACTTCATTCTCTTTTCAGTATATTTTATTTATGTAGAATCACAGGACACATGGCATAAAGCCAATAAATATAGTTTAGAATCACCTAAATTATGTATCTTCTTTCCTATGGCCCTTGTGATCACATATCCCAGTTTAGGTCTCATTTCAGCAGCATGTTGCATTAAAACAGCAGTAACTCAAAAGTTGTGTTTCCAAGACCTGCTAAGTTAGTTTTGTAAAAAAAAAAAAACAACCAACCAACCAAACAAACAAAACAAAACAAAAAAACCTTATTCTTATATGTGTATGAATTGAATATTTAAAAAATAGAAAGTTGCAAATTTGATCTGCAGCCATATAAACTATCTTAACAGGTTGTCCTGGACATACATCTTAGGTAGAGGAGACAGCTTAATTGAAAGTGTATATTTATTTTTCATGCATTCATACATAAATATCTCAGCAAGGGCATTCAGTTCTCAGGATTTCAGGAAACACTATGCACATAAAATACCATGCAAATTTTGCAAACTGAGCTGTTCTAACTTCACCCTGTTCCCAAAGGATTTGGCATGACTTTCCTAAGAGTAATATGATTGAGAAAGATATTAAACATGAGTTTTAGCATTCATGCTATAGAAATGTCCTAAGGAACTCTCTCTATTCTCTATCTTTCACTACCCTGAAAAAAGTGATAGTTTCTCTTGAATTATTTTCAGCATCAGGATGGCAAGCAGAGTAAACAAACGAATAACTGATAAAGTTGATTTGTGAACTCCTTCTAGCTGAGAAGGACTGGTAGACTTTGATGTCCAGTTGGTCTTAACTTCCTATGTGGCACATTAGCCAGGAGGACTTTTTTAATGTAAAATTGGATTTAGGATTTGTTACAAAGGATTGGCCTAATAAATGTCTGAGTATAGTATAAAAATGTGATTTACCAATGGCCAATAATATTTAAATGTTTTAATAATTATAAAATTTTAGCAACTGAAATTTGAAAGCTTACAAATTATGCCTAGAAATTAATTTAATTCCTTCTGAAATATTTTTCAAACATATCTTCTTTTATATTTTTAAGATACAGAATTCAGGTTTAAAATCTGGACCTCAGGTAAAGAAATTGCCTTCATGCTTAGATAATACAATTGAACTATGTACCTGCTGCCATCTTGTGGTGGCTGAGCCTTAATTATTTATCCTGCATACAAAAAAAGAAAAAGAATAATGATGGACTAGAAAACTGTCAGAAAAGCAAAGTTTCTAAAAAGTAAACTGAAAAGCTAAATTTACAAACCTATGCTTATATGATGGAATGACTAACATGGAAGTGTCATTTGGAGGTGACAAATAAAATAATTCAAATCTCTCATGAAGTAAACACCCTCGGAAGTACAAAACCAACTTTTTTCACTTTCAAATTTAATACTCCTTATTTTCTTTCTAAAGGTGAAAACCATTAATGAAAAGCTTACAATTGGGAAGATTTCAAAGTACTGGTCAGGATTTGTAAATGATGTCTTCACAAATGCTGACAATTTTGGAATTCATGTTCCTGCAGATCTAGATGTAACAGTCAAAGCAGCCATGATCGGTGCCTGTTTTCTCTTTGTAAGTATAGGCTTCGAGAGCATGAGTGATTTGTTATTCTCCTTCTTGCTTGTTAATTACAATATAGCCTATTCCATTTACACAGTTTTTACCCCCAAAGAGTATACTTTATTCATAGAAGGATAGCTGAGGACCAATGTTCTTCAAAATTTGAATTTAGAACCCTGCATTTCTGTTAGGCAGCCCCTCTCCAGTGATCTCATATCCCCTTTCTCAAAAACTGATACGCTATCCCATCCTCTTCATCATTTCCCTAAAAACCGAGTTTCCCCTTGCTTTTAAGTTCAATTTAGATTTTTGGCTTATTTTCACTTTAACTAAAAAATATGCAAACATAAATATCACACGATTTATCCTGGGTGAAGTTCCAGACTGGTTCATTAAATGATAGTGAGCTAGATGATATTAAGGATGTTGCCTTCTCAATATGAACATAGATACATGAAATGATTTGATGAGTTAATAGGTACCAGTTGTCATTATTTCTAAGATATTATGTTCCTGTTATTACTTTCCAACTTACAATTATATTGAAAACCTTTTCTTCTTTGGTGTATGGAGATTGATGATAGAAGAAAAGAAGTCAACTAATAACTGTGTCAAAATACTTGACCTATATCCTGTTCTTAGTTTTCCCTCTAATATTTATCTAATTTCCTACTGCTTTCAATCCAGCCATAAAGACTTATGGAGTTTTTATTTTTTGATATATAAATGACATGTATTTTTGACATGTATTTTTTATAAATACATGAAAAATATGTGTATACACAGGCACACACATAAGTGATTAAAACAGCGTAAGAGTTGAGAGTAGGTTGCAGACATTATGCCTTTTCCCCTAATTATATTAATGTGCATTTGCTAAAAACAAGGAATTTTTTTACACATCACAGTACTATTGTCAAAATCAGGCACTAAACACTGATTCAGTGCTATTATCTAAACTACAGACTTTATTCGGGTTGCACCGATTTCCCATAATGATGTCCTATCTAACAATAGAAAATCCAAGATCATGAAGTATGTCCATTTTGTCACATCTCATTAGCTTCCTTTCACCTGGAACAGTTCTTAAGGGGTGTGTGTGTGTGCAGGAACATGTGCACACTCATGTGCATTTTCCTGAGTCTCATGACACTGGCATTTTTGTTTTTGTTTTATTTTTGGAGATAGAGTCTCGCTCTGTCGCCCAGGCTGGAGTGCAGTGGAGCAATCTTGGCTCACTGCAACCTCCGCTTCCCAGGTTCAAGTGATTCTCCTGCCTCAGCCTCCCGAGTAGCTGGGATTACAGGCATGTGCCACTGCACCCAGTTAATTTTTTTTTGTATTTTTAGTACGGATGGGGTTTCACCGTGTTAGCCACGATGGTCTTGATCTTCTGACCTCGTGATCCGCCCGCCTTGGCCTCCCAAAGTGCTGGGATTACAGGTGTGAGCCACCTTGCCCAGCCGACATTGGCATTTTTTTAAGTGCATAAGCCAATTATTTTGTAAACTGTGGTCTAATTTCAGTTTGTGTCATGTTTAGATTCAGGTTATGCACTTTAGGTAAGCAAGAAATTTTTATAAAGCTTAAAGTCTTTCTCATGTTTTATTGTTTTCTGGGGTTTCAGAATGCTAAATCTGATTATTTACATGAATGCCCTACTTACTGAGTCTCTTCTCATGATATTTGGAAAATATATGAACTAAAAATTATTCCCGATGACTTCACTGATGGAAACTCAGAATTTAATACAGACGTAGATATACATATGCATATATACATATACATATACACATACATATACATGTATGTATATTATGATTATTTCTCCAGGATTTCGGAGGAATTATTTTAACTTACCTGTCTCCTATTATTGGTAGAAGGTGGAACTAACATCTATATAGTGCTAGGTTTTTAAACTAAGTTGTCACTCTCAACTCCCATTTTCATCTGCAAATCTAACCAGTTCAGTCTATCTTGCCTGTTGCCTAATGTCATCTCTTCCGTATTCTCCTCTACCCACTGGACAGTGCTTTTAACTTGTCACCCTTCCTTTGCTTGTTTTCCCATCTTTGATCATTCTGACTTCAACACCAACCCACCCACACACACACACCCTTTCCCCAAGATCTTCATTAGACCTTTCTGATTAAGCCCCTCACTTAACATTGATATTTAGAAACCAATCATTTTTAATCTGCCCTACTCATCTATTTTACATAACAAGCTGATGGTTAAAATGTACTGCCGAAATTGGAACTACAATTCTCTGTATTTTAAACCTTACCAGTTTTTCTTATTGTTTCAGAACCCTCTAAACATATGTTCTTCTTGAAAAAGCATGTACTTCTTAGTCCATATGCTTTGAGAGATTGATGAGATGTAGGTTCCATAAAGGTTGATCTAGGTCATACTCAAAGTGTGGTACAAAGTGTAAGCATCTGCACCACCTAGAAGCTTGCTCAAAGCAAAGAATCTCAGATCCCACGCCAGATGCATCAGGACTTGCACTTGAAAAAGATGCCCAGGTGCTTCCTCTACGCACTATAAATTTAAGAAGCACTGATCTAGATAACACCCTAATCATCTAAAAGGATAACTTTTAAACTCCAGCATTTAAGGGAGAAATATATTCACTGAGAATAGTTAATGACTCCCATTCATTTCTCTTTATTTCTTTTTACCATCGTATTGTAAAATACTTGCCTTTTCTTGCCAGCCAATATAGCTTTTAAAACTATTTCTTACATGTATTACCTAGGTAAATTACTTTGTTCTATATATAATTTTATAGAAAGAATTATGTTGTTATTTTTTAAATGCTGTTTCTATTTTATTCAGGTGAAAGCTTTAGAAAGCTGCTGGTATAAGGGTATTTCCTGATTTAAATACAAATCTAAATTCACATATGAAATCTAATTTTTGGTCTCTTCTAGTTCCAGGCTACCACTTCACAACCCACCACTCCTCCAACTCACCACTCACTCTTTAAGTTCTCTCTGGTATAGTTTTTAGTACTCCCTCAACCACCTATTTGCTGACCACATTATCTGTGATAATAAATCTAAATTTTGTTCAAATATTAGTATCCATTATAACTTCCTACACTGACCCAGAATGCCTACTGTCTAATTCTGGAAAGGGTTTATCACCCAAAACTTTGACAATACTATGCAGAGTTAGATAAAGTTTCCAAGTTACTTATACTCTGAAAATTCAACATGAAAATAAAATGTCATGAAGCTTAAAACTTTTAAATTTTTATCTCCTGATAAATCATATAATACTGGAACACTTTGACAATACTATGCAGATTCAGATAAGGTTTGCAAGTTACTTATACTCTGAAAATTCAGCATGAAAATAAAATGTTGTAAAGCTTAAACCTTTTAAAGTTTTCTTCTTCTGATAAATCATAATACTGGAACACCGTTGGAAATATAATTGCTTTACAGAATCAAAGCTTGCATGTCAAACTTTTGATCTTGTTTTCTTTTTGTAAATTCACTTATATTCAGTTTATTTATTTGTAGGATTTTATGTTCTTTGAACATTCACTGGCTGGATTATAATAACCAAGATAATAAAAACAATAAAATATGCAGAGCGTATTTCAGTAAGTAAAAAGCAAGTTTAAATGATCTCTTTCCCTTTGAAGATGTCTATATTTGACGCTATCTAATTCTTTTTCATTTTCTTCTAGAAATCCCTTGGGCTCTGGATTTCATTTCTGAATGATTTGAGTGTTTGCTTTTCTGTAAAAAAAAAAGTTAATTACTATATTTATTAAAACAGTTTAATGAGGCAATTATCTAGTTGTGAATGCATGATAGCTAAATATGTAATTACTGGCCTGAGCACAAGGTTGCTTTGAGAGATTACCATTCTTTCTTTTTATCCTTTTGAAGTTATTGCAATGGTAAGCATGAAAGATGAGAACTAAGGCTGGCAGCATCACTGATGAAAATTCAATGTTTAGAGAACACTTTGAAGTTTTTCTGGTACTAAGGCTGGTTACTAATCAAAAGGGCTGAGTTTCTAAAACATTTTTTCAAAAGTAGTCCCTTTATACTTTGTTTATTAATTTTCTTATTGTAGTGAGATATTACTACTTTACACTGGAAAAGTTAAAAGCTGGGTAAATAATACATCTAAAGATGAAGAGGAAGATAGATGGTATCAATTCATTCTAGTGGTAAGAGGCACAGTTACATTCCATAAAGAAACTAGTATTTACAAACCAAAGAATGCTTTATATACCTACTCATGCCAGAGATTTAAATAAGCATATAAACAGACCTCTAAGTCCTACAGTGTTGTCTAGCAGGAATTTTATCTATTTGCAGAGAAAATTCAGTCAGTTAAGGGATCTAAGGCTCTGAAAAATAGACAACTCAAGGACTTAAAAACAAGCAACGGAAACCAAATAAATAAAATCTTAATCCATGAGTCAAATGCAGAAGTAAAAGAGTACAGTACATTCAATTAAATTAGTATCTTTCACTTCAACATTTGTGGAGTTTTCCTGATTACTATCCACGAGTTATCAACATATTTCCAAAACCTACACAAAAGGAAAATTTGTTATGAACGACAATAATTATTCTCTCCCTTTTCCAAATGGAACAGATTTCTTTTAAGCAAGGCACCATGTAGCCATGTAGGCTCTGTTTTAGGCTTACACGAATACTACCTACAGATTTATGTACATATAATGGTGTTTTGAGAAACTCCAGGCAATTCTTCACTTAGAAAAAGGGAATGCATGCTGAACATCTGTTACTAAGTTAGTCAAGTTAGAGTCATTTGAAATTAGGAGGTGATCATTTCCTAGAAATAACATTATGGGTGGTAGTTAAATTCCCCAAAGAGCACACAAATATCAATTCAGTTCTAGACTCTGGAGTAAGGGCTTCATGCTGTATAACATAAAAATGAAAAACTTCTTTCCCCCATATTCTGGTTCAGTATTCTTCAGTTAATTTGTCGTTATTTACACCTGAACCTTTTCTGACAACCCCCTCCTCCGACCTTTGGCATGTAAAGACTATATATTGCCTCAATCGACCATAACATATTTTGTACCTGAGGCAGAGTGGTTTAGGTATTAACTACCAAAAAATAACTGTATTTTAAAATCACATGCAAGCTTTCTCCCAGTCATACCATTTATTTTTTCAGTGTAACTGGTATCACCTTCATGCTGGAAGCAATGCAGTCATAGAAGGGAACAAAGGTCTTGTGTGCAATAGACATAACCTGGAATCTAGTTTCACTCTTTGCCAGTACTGCAAAGTTAAACTCTGATCTTTAGGGTTCTCCTTGAGACTCTCGTATTACCTTGAAGAACTCTGGTGATGATGAAGGAGAGCTCAGCATTCCTTCCCTTTCCTCTTAATCTATTGCAACTCAAGTATATGGGATTTATGGTTTTCTTATAATCAGCTAAAGTAAATTACACTTTTAAAACTGATGCTTATTAACTAATAAAATGGAGGACAAATAACATGCCAGGCACCTTGCTTTATATAAATTTCTGGTAGGGTAACAAAATGAAATGACAGCAAAGGAAAATCAGACAGTATGAGGATGACTGCCTGGGAAATCGTCTTCCCCCCTTCCCACCCAGCACCCCTGCTTCATGTCCCAAATTTTCTTCCTAAAGATAATCTTGTTTTCCTATCTTCTCTTGTCGTTTACTTTTGACTTCTAAAATATAAGATTTTTATAACTGATGTCACAACAGCAACAGCTGAGATTTTCACCATGGGGCAAAAATGGGAAAAAGAAAATATCATTTGTAAGTGCTGCATTTTACCATGATAAACTGCTTTGGAGGTTTTTTTAATATTAAATGAACCCTAAAACTATTGGACAGAGATTCAACACTTACACCTAAGGAAGACTCACTAAAGATTAAAATCCTTCTTAGAATATATCACTCATTTTTAAATTGGCTGCATTTAAATAAAAACCTGATGTACTGCTTTGATTCCAAGTTGGCATAGTACAATAAACTGAGACCCATCCTGTCTCTCCTTTCTTATTAAAGGTAAAATTGATCTTCTTATCTCTTCTATGCTCTACTTTTCCCTTTTCCACCAAACGTAGGTCCATGAGAGACTAGCAAGACCTTATGATTTTTAGTGAAAAGCATGCAGGTCTAGAACAGGACTGATACTTGTACAACAGTGTTTCCTAGTGCACTACTGCTTCTTGTCCCCAGAACAACCCCAGAACACAGGCTCCAACTCTGTTTACTCCAACTCTGTTTACTGTGTTTACTGGGAAAGACTTGACCAGATTCACACACCTCTCATTCATTCATTCATTGAAATAAATGTTTATTTACTTGCTCTTACATGCCAAATATCTAGACCCTTCTCTTATAGTGGTAACAGTTTAGTTGAAGAGATAGCTTTTAATCCAATAATGACAAGAACACATATTACATTTCAGATATGAGAAGTGTTTAATGGAGATGGACAAGATGCTAAGGTATGGCAATTTGACATGGTCAGAGAAGGAGGGAGTGATGCTGGATTTAATTATTACTCAAATCAGTCTCCCTGAAAATTTGAAGGCTAGGGTTTTTCAAGAATCATTTGTCAAGCAAGTGGTAGGGAATGGGTGCTGCTGATTGGCTGGGGATACAAACATAGGTGTGTGGAAAATGGTCTTCGTGCACTGAGTACACTTCTGGGTGGAAGCCACAGAGGAATTGCTGGTGTAGGCAGGACTATTTGGTTATTTGAAATGCAAAAGCCTGACAAGACATTTCAAAAAGCCAAACTTAGTTTCTGTAATAGTAATGGTACTTACAGGAGTAACTGGGAAAGTTGTAAATCTTGTGACCTGCAGTATAATGGCTGGTAATCTTTTAATTACACCTGCATCTTAGCAGAATTCAGGCCCCTCTCATCCTTTTAACCTGGTGGTCTTTCATTAGATTTATAGAGGCAGTTTTGTTCTGGGAAGGGCTATTCTCTTTTAAACTACAAACTAAATTTTTCCAAAGTTCTTTGTCCCATAGCCAAGAAAATCAAGAATGCGACATGCCAAGGGTGAGGTTAGAACGACAGTTTAAGAAGCAAAAGAAAGAGAGAAGGCTCTCTGCCTCAGAGAGGGGTCCCAGAAAAGGGTTGTCATTTTACAGTTGAATACAGAGGCTTTTATAAGAAACCAGTGAGGGCTGGGCATCTAATTTGCATAAAGTGCAAATTTCTGGTAGCTCCACCCTGTCCTCCTAGTGTGCATGCAGGCCCTTACCTTGAGTTACTCGATATTGCTTTGTTCCCCTTACTGCACATGTGTCAGGGGATGGAATTTTCTATTGCAGACATGTCTGGGCAAGTCAGTCGTGTGGCCTGTCTTATCTATGTAGTGTGGCCATGTCTTAGACAAGCTCTCCTGTGCAAGTTCCCTTATTTATGCTTGCAGACTGTTCTTTGGTTGAAAGAACTCAACCAAGGACCCACACTAACTGACTGCCTGACCAGTTTCTCCCTACCTACTCTCTGTGAGCAAGAAAGGATTTCAGGCCTTTGCCGTTTACTGACAGAGGAAATATTAAAAGAGGATCTGGTTTAGTGCAAAGAGCATGGGTTCAGTTTTAGTCATGGAAATTGCAATGCCTTTAAGTCTTTCAAAAAGAGATGTCAAAAAGGAAAGTGGGTATCTTTTCAACTAGAATATTTCTAAAAAGAGAAGTGAGTTTATGAGAACTATATGGACCCATTAAGATCTGAATACTTTCTGGTTTACTTCAAGGATGCTCCTAAAAATATTTTAAATAATACACAATCTTTTTTTTCATTTTTATTTATTTTATAATTGACCAATAAAAAATAATGTTTATCATGTACAACATGATGTATTGAAATATATCTATACATTGCAGAATGGCTAAGTTGAGCTAATTAACATAGGCATTATCTCACTTTTTTTTTGTGCTGGGAACACTTAAAATCTGCTCTTAGCAATTTTCAAGAATACAAAACATTGTATTCTAGAGTCACTCCTGAACTTTTTCTTATTCATTCACTTATTTAGCTAATGTTTTTGAAACCACTTCTATGTACTAGGCTCCATATTAGGCAATGGGGATGTTATACTCAATGGTACATTGTCCCTGCTTTAAACTCTCTTCAACAAATATTTTTGGAATGCATACACTGTACTAGGCATCAATGCCAGCATTAAGTTATAGCAGTAAACAAAAGCAACAAGGTACCTGCCTTTGTGGAGCTTACGTAGAATAGAGTTGATAGTAAACCAACATGATAAGGTTACCATAGATAATCACAAATATTGACAAGGAATCTACCACTCAATATCTAAAACAAAAAGCTAAACTTATTATGTATTCAGGCAAGGGAGAACTGGTTTTGCAAGACACAATTTATAAGCAAAGAAGGTAAATTATATAGGGTTTTGGGAAAGTGTGGAGTTTAAATGATGGAGTATGATTTTAGCTATGTAAATATGTTCACTACACTAATTGCTGACTGGCTGGCCCTTAGGAATCTGTTCACTGGACTAAAGTTATTACTGATTATCTGATTTTCAGAAATTATGTGAAGAAGATGTTTCCGATTATCTTTCAGAAGCGTGTGTAATTTTGTAATCAATCATTGATTGATTAAACAGGTTTAATACTAGTTTTGATTGTTACTCGTTTGATTGTTAATGCAAGGAGTGAACAATCAATTCTTTCCTAGAAGGATGAGAATTTTACACCCTCAAACCCATGAAAAAAAGTAATTCAGGGTAACAAAATAGAAATAGAACTGCTGTTACATTTTAGCATAGACGAGAAAGAAGAAAGCAAGACTTAAGAATATTTAGGAAAAGAGTGTACCAGACAGATATAAAAGCAAATGCAGGGCAGGTGCAGTGGCTCACGCCTGTAATCCCAGCACTTTGGCAGGCCAAGGTGAGTGGCTTGCCTGAGCTCTGGGGTTCTCAACCAGCCTGGGCAACATGGTGAAACTCCATCTCCACTAAAATACAAAAAATTAACTGGGCGTGGCAGCGTGCGCCTGTAGTCCCAGCTACTCAGGAGGCTGAGGTAGAACAATTTCTTGAACCTGGGAGGCCGAGATAGCAGTAAGCTGAGATCGCGCCACTGCACTCCAGCCTGGGTGACAGAGCAAGACTCCATCTCAATTAAAAAAGAAAAAAAGGAAAAAAAAAAAAGGCAAATTCAAACGCTCTGAGTCGAGAGCAACTGGGCAAGTGTGAGAAGCACAGGAAGCCGGTATGGAGTACAGTAAATGAGAGAGAGAGAAATGAACAGCTGTGGGAAAAGTAGCCAGAGGTTAAATCACATACAGTCTTGCAAGGCAAGGTTAGGAAGAGGAAATGACAAAACTTGGCATTTCGTTAGATATGGAATGTAAAGGATTTTAAGAATTCTAGTATAAAAAATCAGTTCATTCCAATTTTTGTCATTAGAAACTGAAGGTATGGCCATGACACTCATAAGAACAGGTTCAATTCAGTGTTACAGGTGCTACAATAAAGAGAATTTACCACAAAGGCACAAAAAAAGGAAGCATCCAATATCATTAAAGGTGGAAGGTTAGTACCCCTAGAGAGTAGCTAACAAATAACCCATGAGTTGAATATGTGTCTTCCATGCTAGGTGGGGTCAAAGCTAGGAAGTGTTTGGCTGGGAGAACATTCCAAGCCAAGAGCTCAGCACAAACAAAGGCACAGAAGAGATAGAAATATAGTAGTCAAAATGAAGAATGAAGAGGATGCATAAGATCAGAATGTGCTTAATGAGGTCAGACTCTCTTGGGCTAGGCCACATCTTCCCACTCAGCTGTGCCCCAGGTATCCTCCAAGTAATGGTGCTAGATCATGATTCAAATAATATTTTCTTCTGAATTTAGTACTTTGTCTGTATTTGGCCAAAGCATCCTCTAGGGGCTTTGGCAATTGTTTAGAAACGGTAGTGAAACTCGGAAACTGAATCTGAGCGAATAGACAACTATTAAGGGGGAACAAAACAGTATTTTTCCGAAGCCATAATATCTTGACGGAAGGAAGATAAAACTTGTTAAATAAATTAGACTTCCCTACAAAAGAGAGATTTGGATAGATGATCTGAAGAATTCAGGTTATAGCCTAGACAGGTTGCACACTGAAATTCTAATTCATCTGAGCCTTAATTAGAGGTTTACAGACCTATTATTTTTAGATTTGTTATATTTTATTTTCAAAACGAAAACGAACTGAAGAAATAACATAAACATTTACTACTTCATAATTTACTCTCATTCCTGTTTTGTAAGTTTTATATTATTGTTTCTTTAATTGCTAAAATAAGGTGAAATGAAATTATTGTTTATCATATTTTGACTTTTCAAATTAAGCATTTTTTCCTTTCTCTACACTTTGATTTTTATCATTTCTCCTTACATTGTGTTTTGCTCATCTTAGAAGAAAAATTTCTTTTTTTCTTTTTAATAAAATTTCTCTAAATAAATGTAAATGGATTTTGTCTATTTCTTATGCTGTGAAATTTTTGCCATTAAAAATAGGTGGGAATTGTACTTAGTGACGTGTATTGTGGTTCATTCCAACTGTCTAGGTGTTAAACTTAGGCATCACTTATTTAAATAATTTGAATTGAATAATTTAAGTAATCTATAATATATCTTAAAAAGAAAAAAATTTTCATTAAAAATCTTGTTAAATGGAAAAAACTAACTAGTTTTAACTAACTGAGCCTCTATTTTATGACTGCCTGCCAAATATTATTATCAGCATTATTGAAAATGCATTTCAAGGCATTTTTGATTTAATTATAAATATATTGTATTTTTAAAAACAATTACAATAGAACTATAAGAGATTTCAAATATTAAAATTTGATATTTTGCCTGAAACAAAATTAAAATGCAATAAGACTATTTGTTTCACAAATACATAAAGCCTAGCATTAATGAGCATTATGAGACACTGGGCTAGACTTCTTACATACATTTCTCATTTGATTCCAGTGCCACACATTATAAGCCCAAAGGTATAGATGAAAAAAATCAATGCTCAGGAAGGTTAAGTAACTTGCCAGATTTTACAAAACTGTTAGCTTTTTGTCGACCTTCCAGAATGAAGAATATGAGTGGGCAGGAAATGGCACGATGAAATAACTGCTAAAATAAAATAAAATGAGAATCCAAAAAACTAGGGGAGAGGTGCTTTTATTCCTTTAAGACCTGAATTAATAATATTCTCATCAATATTATGTGCTGTCTCTATTTAGAAAGGTAACATATAAACAACTTTAAATCTTTCATCCACTGATCGTATATCTGTGGTGCTATTCTGTGGATATCTTTTTGGTTATTATTCCATATAAACGATGAAGTGGCTAATGTGTAAGCCTGAAAAAATACCTTTGAGAAAAAGTTTACGTTATATTGGATTATTTAATTTAAAAAACTTTATTAAACATAAAAGATTTGGAAAATATTTTCCAATATCAATAAATCATAAATGTGGTTTTGGTCTACCATTTCATTGCCTCTTCAGTATTAATTGTAGCTTAACCAAATAATAAAAGAAAATAAAATGTCAGTATTCATTTTGGCACCTGTATTATATACTTAAGTACATCGAATGTTTTAAACTATACCATATTTTGAATTACGTTGAAGGCTAGCTGTAGAAAATACACAGAAAGACTAATAGAGAAATTAAACAGTTCTTACTTTTTAAATCCAGTTACATATGCCTAGGTAATATACACGTTTAATAAGTCTTTCATGCTGCAGATGGCAGCAACACTTCACATTGTGATGACATTGCTTAGCTACACCAGCAGAATCTTGAAAATACAAATTTCTATTGAGCATTCATTTTGTTCTTTCTGTAATCTGGGAAATAAAACACATCAATTTTGTATGTAGAAGGGTGAAATTTGATGTTATGTTTTTAATAAACTGAGAAACACTGTATTTGTTGATGGATTATGCACATGATGAGAGTTTAGTAATTATTATTTTTAATGAGGAGACTGAATTGATGGACAATTTCCATCAATTTAGTGAATGCATATATTCCTATTTTTCTAAGGAAACTGAGTAACATTGGCTTATCAAATAGGTAAATAAAAGCACCATAAAATCAAGCATATAATTGAAAGTAGAGTCCCAACTCTGATTTTCTATTTGTCACTTAAGAGTTAAATCATCAGTATACAAAATCTAAAATTATTTAAAGTTATGCAGAAAATCCACTCATTTTTGATCATTTGTATGTTGCATCTTGATCACCTTCAGAGGAAATTTGTAGGCCAAGCCAAGACACATCCATAGAGTCAAGTCCCAGTTTGGTGACTCAAGGTCATCGAGCAAGTGTGAGTAGGTCTAACAATGGATACGAATGCCCCACCATTTTAAATAGGCTTTTAAGATAGCAAGGTGATACGAACACAAAACCATAATAAATATTCTATCTAGAGTTAGGGTCTGGGTCAGAAGCAAGGAAAAGCAATATAAATGTAGAAAAGTCAACTTATTCTATGTTGACTTTTAACCCAGGTTAAACGTTTAAATAGCATAGCTATTTTTAAAAAATATCCATACCCAGACCTCATTCTGTATCAATTAAGTCAAAATCCCCAAGAGTATCTTTTAAGTCACTTAATTCTTTTTTTTTAAATGACTAGTAATTCTAACATACAACCAGTGTCATAAACAACTTCTTTTCTAATGCTGACAAAATAGTATAACTTCTATTTTTAAGTCCTGATTCAAAATTTGGCTTTCAAATGCTTTAGTAATCAGTGTCTGGCTTACTTACATAGACTTTCTTTTAGCCTGAGACTTTATATTATAGTACTATAATGCCCCTCTGGAATCCCATTATAGATCTCCACCCTATTATCTTTAAGCAATAATAACAATGATATCATCTTATTTTTTAGAATTCTTTAGAATATTTCAAAGCACTTCCACACATATGACTGGCCTGCATTGGACCTCACAAGAAAACAGAGGGTTTCAGTTGTACATACCATCAGAGATGCCCAGGTACAACCTCTGTATACTGAAGACTTAGAAAATGAGAAATATAAAAACTAAATTACTTTGTTTTACTTTGTGCCCACAAGTCTTTCTACTATACAAGAGTATGTATAAAAAGACTATACATAAATATATAAAATGCTCACCATGGCAAATTGTTTAATAAATTATGGTTCATACATAGAATGGAGTTCTCTTTTCTTAAAATGAGATTTTTAGATGATAAAATACATAAAGAGATAGACAGGATGGAAATTATAATATAGGTGGTAAAGGAAAAGCATTTACTTTGCATGTGTGCAGAACTATGATTCAATTCTTGTAAAATTAAAAAATAATTACATATAATGTGTGTGTGTGTGAGAGAGAGAGAGAGAGAGAAGTGGAAAAGGTTAAATTTCTTAATTGCTACAGCAGAAGCACAGGTATGCAAATCACGTAAAAGCTATATTGATTTATTTAAGATATACATTTAAAAGAATGCCAGCCTGGACATAGATCTGCTCTAAGGTATTTCAAATTAGTGGCTCAGCTTTCAAAACCATGAGATAACTTTTTTGATCAACAGAAATATTGTGAAGATTTGAGAGAAGTATTAAGCTCCTAGATCTAACTCTGGGGAACCCGTATGATTGTGATCAAATTCAGAACAACACATATTTTTTTGTGGAAAATAAGTTCTTCCTGAGGGCTGTTCGTAAATTTAACTTAGTCAGACAATCTTAATGAGTGAGGTTATTCTGGCCTACAAAACACAGCTGGGAGAAATAGACATGCAATCATAAATAGGAATGTGTCTTCCTGATTCTTGGCAGCCAAGTTCCAGAAACACAGTTACTGGCTCTCACAGCCTCTCAGTACAAATAAGAAGAATTACAGGAACTAAGACAGTTTGGTTCTTAGTAGAAATTAAAAAAAAAAAAAGCCATACATAGTCCAGAAATATAATGATGCTTACTCTATATGGAAAGTTAATTTATGATAAAAGGATGTTTTCAAAGGAATAAGTCAATACATAAATGACTATTTATTCATTGAATAATCATTCAATAAACTCTGGTAAGAAAAACCTTAGCCAATATGGAGCCACTTTTGTTTAGCTAGTGCATTTCCAGACTCCCTTTTGTCCATATCAATCTCAGAGGCTAAATGTGTGGTCTGTGTGTGTGATAGAGAGAGAAAGAAAGAGAGAAAGGAATATGAAAATGTTATGTTCCTTTTTTGCTACAGCAGAAGCACAGGTACACAATCATCTAAAAGCCATGTAAGATGTTTTTGATATATGTTTAAAAGCATGATAGCTAGATTATAGTTCTACTCTACAGCCCTACGTCTATTACTTTCTCAGCTTCCTTGTATCTAGGGGCCCCATGTAGTCAGGTATTGTCAATGAAACATAACCATAACTGTATTAGGACTTTTAGTAAAGCATTTACTTTTCTGTAAAAAGGGGAAGATGTTGCCAGTTCTATTTTTCTGATTACTTCTTCCTCCAGGGAACACAATGTGATACCTGAAAACAGAGCATTGATCTTGTGTGAACAAGTCAACAAGTCAATACTCTAAAGGTGTAAACTAAAAACCATAGAAGGAACACAGGTCTTTGATGATATTATGAAATTGTTTTCCCTGTCCTGGACTACCTACCTCCAAAATTCTTAGCTGAGACTATTAAGGTGTTATTGCTTAAGTCACAAGTGTTCAGGTACACTGTGACATGAAGCTGAAAAGATTGTTATCTAATACGACCATTTAGAAAAATTAAAATATGATTTTAGGCCACATACAAATATAAATCTAGATATAAAAATAGAGAAGTAGAATTCAACATTAACATTCCTTTTATGCAATAAATTAAAAAACAACTACTGCAAATGAAAACTAAGACAATTGAAAAAAAAGCTTGCAATATAAAAGAAGACACAGTGCTTATCCATAATGAGGAAAGAGCTTCTGCAAATATATGAGACAAATATACTGAAAGAAAATAGGAAAAGCACAGGAACATAAAAATCACTAAAAGACAGTATTAATGGCCAGTAAAAATAAAATTATGTTCAAAGTATCTATTAAAGAAATGAATCAGAATAGAAGATTCAAAAATCTGAATTATCCATTGTTATCAAAGATTCAAGAAAGTGTATATACTTGGCAGTAAGGTAAATTGATACAACTAATCAGGAGAGAAAATTTGCTTCAAGTGCATTCATTCTAAATGTATATTTTAGTCGAGTAAGCAATTTTGCCTGTAGATTTGCTAAGTAATCACAAAAGCTTTCAAAGATGTGTCAGGGTGCTTGCTGCAACATTGTTTTAATATTCTCAGTAAAATAAATGAAGACATACTAATGTTCACCAATGGTGACTTAGTTAATAAATTATTGTTCAAACAGAATGGAATCGTCTCCTCTTAACAATGAAATAGATTGGTAGCCAAGTAGATGGGAGTGGAAGGGAAGGAAGCAGGGATGAAAAGTATCTGTAATATTGTTGGTAAAGGAAAACCAAGCCCTTCTCAGAGCATGTGAACACTGAAATGAAATTGAATGAAATGAAATAATACATTTAAAATATTAATAAACAAAAATAATTACATGTACACTAAATAGGGCATTCTAAAATTCAAAAATCTAGAATACATACCAAAATTTTGACAGTAAATATTTCAATGTAGGGTCAGGCATAATGGGGGAAATTAAATATTACTTTAAATAATTCTGTGTTTTTAAATTTTTGAACAATAAACCCATTTAATATATAGATATAAAAATACATATAAGCACACTCACGACTCATACACACACAATCGTTAAAGTACAACTATTTTTAAAAATAATTATTCAGATTTGCCTCATAAGGAAAACCTTGTGACATTTGAATTCATAGGAAAAAAAGTTAAGAATAAAATTTTTAAAAATAATGTTTCTTTTCTATATGACTACTGTCAACCTTTCTCTTCAGTTGTTTCTAAATGAATCCATCTTTGGTACATATTCATTTTTTCATTGATTTATTTGTCAAAATGTCTAACTCATAAAGATGGATAAATTTTTCTGGGATTTATCATACTACCCAACATATTAGAATCTCAGCTGTTAGTATTTTATTTCACAAAATTCAGTGGTTATTTGATTTGATATGGGATCAATCCAACATGAGAACTCAAGGTGGGAAAGATATATTCATCCTTTTTAAAAAGTGTTTTAAATTGTTATATTTATGGGTGCATTGTAGGTGTATAATTTATGGGGATGTGTGTGTCCTTTCATCAAAATAATAAATAGGACAAAATATATACTCTGAAATTACTTGGTATCTAATTTACCATCAATGCATATTGTAATACTTTCATTACTAGTTTATTTTACAGCACGTAAGTGCAGTAAGAAGAGAAGTTGAGAAGGTGGAATTCATTTCTTAATGTACTGGTCTTGAGGTGCTTATGGAACATCAAAGTCCAGAAAATTTGCAAGTACCTGCCAGGAGAATGCTCTAGCTTAAAGTTTTGAACTTAGAAATTTAAACCGTGAGTGCATGACGTAAAACCTTGAAGCTATATAGCAGGAAAAGATAAGTGTCAAAAGTGGAAGAAAGCCCTGGGACACCATACTTTCAAGAATAGAAGAGTCCACAAGGGACAGAGCAAAACTGCCTAGAGAATAGCAGGAAAAACAAAAGTCTGATGCTTTAGAAATTAAGAGAGGAGAGATTTCTATAAAGTGGGCAGTGATTAACCAGGCTAAATGCTACAGCAAGTTAACAAAAAAGATAGGATTTAGTTATTTCCTTTGGATTTAGATCTTAGAATATTTTTAGGCCTTGGAGAAGGCAGTTTAAATTTATTTTGTTGAGGGTCCTAATTTAATGCATCTGGGCAAAATGAAAAGCAAGAAAGCAGATAAACTAGGTGACTTTTTAAAATGTAAGAAAAATAACTTGGAATTAACATAAAAAGGTAATAACAACCACGATGATCTGGGAGAGGGTAGCACTGCCAAATCGTAATGAAGCCGGGACTATTTTATTTTGCTGCAGAGGAATTACTAGAAATATAAACAAAGTCCAGAGAATAATAATATAAAATCAGCTCAATAAACCTGTTGTTCTAGTAAGAGTGAGGTACTTATTCCAGAATCAAAAGTCTGCACATTCTGTTAATCATGAGTTAAAAGATTAAGCTCAGATATAATTTTTCTGGGGTTACAGAAAAAACACAAAGAAAAATAAAGAATTAGATAAAGAATTAGAGCTTCTAACTTTGAATAAATTCCTCTGTATGGGTTGCATGCAAACCCAGATGTCATGGTTCCATATTAGATTTTAGAAAATATAATTTATCAGTTAAAGTTAGCAGTAGAACCTAATTATAGAATTAGAAAATAATTTAGAGCAGAATGTAGTCTGGATATTCACATATTGTATTTACATTAAAATTGTATCTGTTATTCTAAGGGAAGAAATTATTTCTTCTTGTGTATTCACAACTGTCATTATCTTATTCCTAAACCTGCTTATTCTCCCTGACACCATCCAGTCTATCCTACAATCCATTCTCCATATAATTGCTAGATTAATCTTTTTTTTTTTTTCTTTTTTTTTTTTGAGATGGAGTCTCCTCTGTCTCCAGGCGGGAGTGCAGTGGCGTGATCTCGGCTCATTGCCACCTCTACCTCCCAGGTTCAAGTGATTCTCCTGCCTCAGCCTCCCGAGTTGCTGGGACTACAGTTTTGTTTTTTTGTTGTTGTTGGGGTTTTTGTTTTGTTTTGTTTTTGTTTTTCTCGGTATTTTAGTAGAGATGGGGTTTCACCATGTTGGCCAGGATGCTCTCGATCTCCTGACCTGGTGACCCGTCCTCCTCAGCTTCCCAAAGTGCTGGAATTGCAGGCACTAGCCACCACACCTGGCGTAGACTGATCTTTTAAAACTAAGTGTCTGAAAGTGCCTTTTAAAGTTCAAAATGGCACAATGAAAATAACTTGTCTCTCCTCTCTCCTAAGTCCCCAATACAATTATAGCAAATGCAAATGATGATAGACAAAACAACCTCTCAAATTTGCATCACAAATCTGTG